AATTTTAATATTTGAAAATTTGAAACTTTGAAGCTTTAAGACTTTGAGAATTTGAAAGTTTGAAACTTTGAAACTTTGAGACTTCGAGGCTTTGAGACTTTGAGGCTTTGAGACTTTGAGATTTTGAAACTTTGGAACTTTGAAACTTTGGAAATTTGAGACTTTGAAACTTTGAGACTTTGGAACTTTGGACATTGAAACTTTGAGACATTGAAACTTTGAGACTTTGGTACTTTGAAACTCTGAGACTTTGAGGCTTCGAGACTTTGGAACTTTGAAACTTTGGAAATTTGAGACTTTGATATTTGAGACCTTGAAACTTTGGAAATTTGAAACTTTAAAGCTTTGCAACTTTGAGACTTTGAAACTTTGAGACTTTGGAATATTTGAATACTTGAATTTCTGAAAATTTCAAAATTTCCAAGGTGAGATCGAGTCACAACGTTCGATTACCTCGTTGACGGATAAAAATCGCCGGGAGCTCGACGTGAACCTGTTCGTCCTGCGCGAAAGCAGCCAGCATCAGAAAACGTACTCGATTCAAGAATGAAAAGCGGATATCGTTGTTTTTCTACACGATCTCCCTGTTCAGCCTCCGCTTACTCCGATCTCGACGACGCGAAGGTAAAGCTGAATTCGTGATGTCGTTTGATCATCGGCAATAACTTCAAAAAACGACCAACTGTTCTTCACTACAGAACCGTTCATCATTGGGAACGCAAATGTGGTAATTCTAGTTCTCCCTAACTTTCTAACGTAATTCCTTCAATTCGTCGCGAGTTTGTACAAACCTATAAAATACATAGAACGCAAATAAATTTCACATATACCATAATTGATTTCTAATAAAAAAGAATATCCAACTTTCTATTAATTATTATTATACATTAAAAAGCTAGTCCTTCTTCCAAATAGAAACTTATCGAATTTCTTCCATTTAAATGCACTTTTATTCCCCGTCATTTCACCGTTTAACTCTCTCTCTCTCTCTCTCTCTCTCTCTTTTTCTCTCTCTCTCGAGATTTAGGATAAAACTTGACGCGTGAAACGGTTTTTTCCTTAATTAAACCAGGTGAACGAAGTGATCTGGACGAAGTTGCAGGTTCTCGCGAGCACGAGCCTCGAACTTGGCACACTTCGTCACACACGCCTTCTTCCTGGCGTAATTGTTCCTTGTTACGGCACGCGGTGCCGCGATATTTACTTTCTTTACGAGCGTAATATAACGCTGTGCCCGTTGCTTTCTAGAGTGTTTTTCACCTCGATTCGAGATCTCTCAACAACACGGAATCTGCTGTTTCATGCACGTGTCGCGTCATTCTTTTGTCCCATTGTGCTTCCATTTTCCAGCGTCGATTACCACGAGTCAAGAGGAAAAGTCCGGAAATAAATGTGGGAGGGAATGGAAAAGAGAAAAAGGGTCAGCGTGGCGTATTAAACGAATAAAGAGTCCGTGAAATGGCATTGATAAATCGCAGTCTCCCC